TTTCGCCGACTTCCACCCGACGGACATGACCTGCTGTTGCTTTCCACCGGAGGGGGTTAACTTCGTGGCGTCATTTTTTTTTCGGAAAGGGAAGACCGGTGGTGTGTGACACTTGCCCGGTGAACTTGGAGGCGATCAGCGTGGAGGACTCTCTCCTTGCCACGGGATGCCCAACAGCACAGCGGCGACATTAAAAGCCCCCGCGGCGTGACGTAACGTGCGGGGTCTGCCGGCGCGCTCCGCCGGGTCGTCCGCATTCTTGTTTCGTCATTCACGCGTTGCCCCCGTCGCGCGCGAGATGGAGGGAGGGGGGGGGGGGGCGTCTTCGGGCCCCCTCCCCGGCCGAGCGCGGGCGGCCGCCTTTGATGTTCGCCGCTCGCACCTTGATCCGGCGCCGCTCTCTAATGACGACTGGCCCACGGGCAGCGCGGCGCTTAATTCCTCCGCTGCTGCCCCGGGGGACGACGAAGGCGACGACCATTTATCGCCCCGCCGCGGCATGACTCAGAGCCGGCGCGGTGCGGAGTGGATACCGAGTGGTGCGCGCGACTCCGGCCCGCGCTGTCCCCTCGGCGCCGTCGCGCCTGGAGTAGACGCCTTGTTTACACTTGCGGCGAAATCGCCTATCGCTATTTGCCGTTCCAAGAGCGCCCTTTCTCCGTACGCGTTGCTCGTTTTGAAGAGCAATCGGGGCGAATGGGATTGCGAGGTTACGCTTCAACGCACGATGTGCATTGTGCTGCGCGGACGGAACTCGCATTTCTAAGCTCGGTACGAGCTGGTGAACTACAGTTAAGACTCATAAGTTCAACGCGCTGTCGAGAAACTGAGAAAGACCACAATTACGTTCTTATTTCGCCGTCCACTTCTTCACAATGTGAAAGAAACGTTCGCGGTTTAGCCTTAGTCAATTATTTTGACTCCTTTCTGTCGATAAACGAAGCTGGCTTTCTGACGTATTCGGCCGATGCAGGGTCTCCGCAGGTTGCTTTCGTTTCCTCCCCAAGGTCAGTTGGATGCAGTGTCTTGTTTTTCAGATTTCGATAGGTGAAGCCAGCTGGCGTATGCTTGGGGTTCAAGGTTCAATAGGAGGGGCGAAAAACACAAGTAACGCTGCCGTAAGAAAAACCGTTCGTCTCACACCAGGAGTCCAGCCGCACGTCTTGTATGCGAGGAGGTTATGTTTCGGAGGAGAACGATCCAAATGTAGCGACAGCGAGAGAGTACCAAGAAAAAAAAAACAAATCGAAAAAAAAAGTTCGCTCCTGCGGCTTATATGCGAGCTATCTCGTAATAATGATTCATGCGAGTTTTGGTTTCCACCGCGCAATGTGCAACTTGCGCCGCGATAATGCATCCCACGTGTTCGTACATATATAACCCTGGCATATATAACTGCTCCCTCGTGCCGTCGCCATTTGCGACGTTATTGATGTCGCTGTTAGACGGGTATCCGAAATAGTTGCGCCATAAACTGTTCGTAACCAATTCATACTAGCCGCGGTGGTTCACCTTGAAGCGGCGTGGTGCGTGCCTGTTTCAAAGCGCTTGTCCGAGCACACACTATAGCACCTCTCTCAATTGTTTTAAATTTCGGTTCACTGAAAGCACGCAGTTATCGAATTCAAGACGTGCTTTACCTCGCACATTTCTGCGTCACCTTTTCCCATGTTTGCATAGGATTCTTGCATTGTTATTGCTGAGTATGTTTCAACTCAATTACTCCAAAATCTTAAAAACAAAGACGTAAACGCTAGAAAAGTACATAATGAAAAATAATAAAGAAAGAGATCAACGAATTTTTTAGGAAGGAAACCCTCTTTATTGCCGATAAAGCCAAACACGATAGAGATGCAAGGGAAGGCAGGAAGGTTGACCACTGCAGACGCACGTCTGGTTTGATACCCTGCGCTGGGGAAGAGGGATAGAGGGCGAAAAGAGAGAGGGGGAAGAGAGATGAACAGAATCACGAACACACTTGGGGGGAGTGCATCTAGTCTACAGGTGGTCGCTCAGATCTGTTGATTTCAGGTACTTCAGTAGCGTGGTAGTTAGTTGCTTTCTGCGCTCTCGAAGCACATGTCCATGGTCCTAAAGAATCTTCTGTGCAGAAATTAGTTTGGAGTTCAGTTGGTTCAAAACCAAATTTTTACAAAACATAGACAGTGCTAACGTGGTGCATGACCTGTAAAAAATGGGAATTAATAGGTAGGAAGTTTTAGCTTGTACGTGTACTTCTTTACGTTAACGTGTTACCGGATAGTGGTCTGCGTTTACCGTCTCACCGGAACGGATGTCTTTCAACGTTTTAGCTCCTCATACGTAAACGTTTACGTACGCACATAAACGCGTATACCTTTACGTTTTCGCAAACCATAAATGCTGATGCTAACTGCATATAAACCGCATTTAATTACATAGGATTGAATCACCGTTGTGGCAAAATCATCAGATGTTCTTTTAGCGCGTACAGTATCCTCGTATGCACAAAAAAAGTGAAAAGTACAAGGGTACTGCAACGATGGTGTGGACATCTTGTGACACTTCTTGCAACCACAGTCATGAACACGTTGGCTTGCGCATAATGCATTTGAGGCGAAAATGATTAAAAAGGTTACTCATTTGTAATAACGCCGTTGCGAAGTTTTTACATCAGACGTACAATGCACGATCTTGCGTCAATAACACTTTTGTGATTACCTGCTTCACAATTTGCTATCCTAGATGTTGCTCCACCTATCCAGCTTGTCGAGAGTTCGCACGCTTACGGCGTCTCTGTCCTAGGCCATTCTAGGTTTGGTAATCCGGCCGAAACAATGCGATGGCTATTGCCGCTCACACTTTGGCTTATTTCAACTCGAGTGCTCGAGTCCCGGCAATGCGAATACCACGAGTTTCTACGAACGAAGGTGGATTTGCGAAATAGGGTGGGAAACGTAAAGACTATACATGGCAGGAAACGTATACTTTTGAACCCCATCCGGCGGCAAACGTAAACGTTTACGTCCCGTAAAGACCCGCGCATGCGCAGATTCTATCCGGTAATACGGTAACGTAAAGAAGTATGCGTACAAGATAAAAGCCCCTAATCTTGTAATCATGTTGAAGAGCACACGGAACGTCACTGACGAGAGAGTCATCTGACATGAGTGTTCTTATCGCATTATCAGACTCGCAATAATACTCTGCGCAGATCAAGCGATTATACGGAGGTATAGATAACACTCGAGAAGTTTTTAAATATGTGTGTACTTAACCTGTACGTTGCTGCGCGCTTCTGGCAGTGTGTAAGTTCCGCCTTTGCTGTCACTTATTCAAATCGGTATGAATACTCCAAACGCGGTGAACTCGTGAGCCATCATGGCGTAACAAACAAAGCTTTTCGAAGGCGACATTCAGTAACACTTGAACAGCGACCGCAGCGTGTAAAAGCTAATTGAATGTGTGGACAGCTATGGGAACATTTAAGCGGCGCCTTCCAATATGCTTTCGAAAGAGGCGAAACGCGGCCGCTTTTGGCTTTCACGGTCGTCGAGTTAATTCTCCGTGAAAATGCGACTAGTGCCGCTTCGCGATTATCGCATCAGTGCGCGCGCCTCCTGCGAGCCATCGTTTACACCCCGGCTACATAAAAAGAAAAATACCGTAACAGGAAAAAAAAAACAGCTAAATAATTGGAAGACATACTATCTTCGAACTTGAAACAGAGAGACTAACGGAAGAACAGCCTTAATGCATGCTCGTCAAAAAACTTGCGTTTCGTATACATGTAGGATACTATATGTTGTTCCGTTAAAGCAGTAAAATTTTGTTAGCGGTAGACAGTGCGACGGGATTTCTGATTTGCTGCATTGAGCTATAAGCAGGCCAACGTATACTTTAAGCAGGATTGTGTGAAGACTTGTCTGATAATTTTTTTCTAAACATAGATATATGACTATATTTATTATGACAGGCGAAGATTACTGAAATAAGTGACGACGATATAGATAGCGTAGAAAATTTTGTTTTTCTTCTAGGATCCACAACAGATAACTCTGCCAGAATAGTACAATACAGTAGAATAGTAAATGAATGTAGCAAAGAATAGAACTTTCGAAACTGACAAGAGACGAAATTAGTCTCTTTGTACAAAAAAAGTTCAATATTTTTTCACCCTAAAGTATGCAGGCAATAAAAGTACAAGGTTCACTTTCGGGCTACTAGTTGGTATGTGCACAAAATATAAAGTAAACAACCAAATCTAAATATATCAACTTTTCGACCCGTGTCGATATCTCGAGGAATCACCCAGTTGAGAGATGTGGCTTACAGTTGACAAATACATGCTAAAGGCCAAAAAAATGGCGGATCCTAACCTTGGACTTTAATAACAGTTAAACACCATAGCGGTATTCTGTCCCTAGTGCTTCTACTTCAACCACTTGCGCAGTGCCATGTGTGCCTTTTGTGTTGGGTGGCTGGCTTTAAACCACGAAGTCATTATAATAATTACATGCTGTGATGCCCGAGGGCAATGTACGTTCGTACCACACATTATTATCGCGATACTACATGTATTGTGAACGCGTGTGTTTGTAAAGCATGCATTTGTAAGCAAACGTGTGGTTGTCACTTACTTGCCACGCAAAGGACCCGACCTCGATCCATCCTCACTCTGACCAAGAATTGTTTTTGTTATTTATTTTGTTTGCTCTCTATTTTTCGTTCACGCACAAGGTGACGATTTTTCACTCGCTGGCACAAACGCTGGAATTTCTGCAAAACTAGCTCTTTAACGCTTTCGCGTTAAAATGATGCATCAGCTGTTGCGAAAAAATCACGCAACGAGAAAAAGAATCTTTCGGTCTTACCTCGTACGCCTCCGGCTAATTCTGTCTCTTACAAAGTTTATGGTAAGGTGTTCGATCGCTAACACTTTGTGTCTCTTGTACCCTTAAAACAAACGTTCTTTTAAAGCGCCTCTTTTTGTTTGTTTCTCTCTATTCCTGATTTTGCAGGCCAGGGTCGCGTTAACCAACTGGGCGGCGTGTTCATCAACGGCCGGCCGCTGCCCAACCACATCAGGCTGAAGATCGTCGAGATGGCGGCCGCCGGCATCCGGCCCTGCGTCATCTCGCGACAGCTCAGGGTGTCGCACGGATGCGTCTCCAAGATCCTGAACCGCTACCAGGTAAGGGCTCCCGTCTGGGCCTGTCTGCGAGGGTGTCAAGCCGCGTACAATCTCTGCTGTCGGCCGGAAAAAGTCAGGGCCCCTGACGGGATAATCCGATTTCGGCTCACAACAGCCTCGGAAACCGCGCCGGCTGATCCCTCGGAATCGGGCGGCGGCATTGTGTTCCGACCATGTGCAGTTAGCTGCAGTGTCTCATTCGACTAGCTCCCGCTGCATGCAAGCCATGGTTCGTGGGAAAAGAATCGACAGTTTTATCTGCACCACCCGTCACGTGAGCGACATTCGAATAGTAACTGTCGCGCAAGCGAGCCTTACTATATAGTTAGTTAGCTCGCCAGACAAAAGACAAAGCAATCACGTGATTAGTAAAGCGCAGCGCTTTTTTACAACTTCGTGACATGGTGCCTACCTTGCCAAGAAGGCAACGTATCTTTTAATGTTTTTATTTGTATGACATCATTGCTCTAACGACACGTAATATTCACCACGTTCAAGGAATGCGGTGCTGTAGTAAACAGCAGCGCGATAAAAGTTCATGAGACAAAATCAGCACCGACTTCACCCTCAGCAACGGACGATTCAGCTAGCGCGTAGTAAATGGCTGCTTCCGGGCGTTTTTAGTCGAGCTGACTTCCAAATTATATGCTATTTAGCTGAACCATGAGTTTCAAAGGTAACCTCACGGTACAAAGGAAACATCGCGAAGCTCTGTGTGTCCCGTGTTGTTTACCTGTTACTTTGTTTAACCAAGCGAGCAACACCGACAATTTTCCAGGTTCGTCGAACAATGGGTTCAGCAGTGATCTCCTGTGCGCGGCGGCCACGTTTTTTCTCGACGTTGTTAGTGTTCGGCGTTCTTTGTTATGCCACAACTGAAAATAGCGCATCTGGTGAAAACCACTGCATCATCTTCTCAGAACATATGGCAAAACTGTCGTGTGTGCAGTACTCTCCACCAAGCCGTGGTAACATTCGTTTCAACCATCGAACATTCCTTTCAATGGCTTATTTTACCCTGAGGTCTAATTCGTAACTAGTCTATTAATTTTTACCCTCCTTTACGAGATAACTTCCTTTTATTGCGTTCATGGCAGTGTGCAAAATCATTTTCGCAAATAGCGACTAGGCAGAGGGAGGAGAAGAAAAAAAAAACTAATTCGCTCTAATTTGCCGTGGTTACACGGCGCTTGGCTGAGTGATAGGACAGAACGGCGAAACAAGAAGCAGGGCTGCCTGGCCAAGAAAGCGCCGCCTTGTTGCCGTGAAGAGATTGCGAGAATGCGGCGCGAGAGTGCGCGGCAGGCGGTTCGCTTCCTCGATATTACACGGTAGATGGAACGATGCCCCCTCTTTTTCACGCTTGCCTCCCTTGTCTTGGTTGCGTCCAGCAGCCAACCAAATGACCATGTTAGCGCGGCCGCACACAGGCCGCATGGGAGCTCATCAGTCCGCCGTTTTGCTTCGTGCTGGCTTGCCCGCCTCCGTAGAACACACAAGCGGTAGCCGGGAGTTGCGGAAGGTGATGAAGGAGGAGGGAGCTCGATGACTTCCGATGACTCGGCGGGTCACGCACCGACGCTCCACAATGGTGGTGGTCTGCGTCTCGACTTCTCGCAACTGAGTATCCATGTTTGTCTGGCCTCTCCTCGTACTGCACACGCCCTCCTCAGCACGCCCATACCGCCTATAGCAGTCTCGATGAAACCTCTCTGCATCACACGGAACGGCGTAGCAATCGTCCGCGCTTACGTACTTCAGCGACGACACCAGCACGGGACGGGAAAGCTCTCGCTGTAATGCACGCAACTTCACTGTGGCAGGGTTCTCGGGGGAACGGACGCCGCGGGCCGACGACGCAGGGGTTCTGAATGCGGCTCGTGGCACAATGGCATCAATGGTGCGACGCGAGTAGCGCCTGCGGTGGCTTTGCGGCTTTTATGCGGCGCCGGCGATTAGGACGTCTAGACTGCGGTCGGGTGACACAGAGTCAGTGGTGTTTAACGCCAGGTGAGAGCAACGGTTGAGGGGTGTCAGAACCCCGCCTCGGAGTGAGCACGCCCGTCAGGAATAGGGCGAAGCTTCGAACCCGCGTTGTACCTCTCTCTTTGGCCACTGTTGTTGTCCATACGGCGTGTCGACAATTGAATTTTCCGCAACAATGACTGAATGCCCTTAAGCGGTAAGCTGAGTTAGCTGGCTGAAACGTTCGTATAAATATCTGCAGACCGGCGGCTGCTTCCTCATAAGCAATATTTCTTCACCGCCGCACAGCTCTCGCGGTGGTTCCCTGCAGTTAAGTATAAGCGGGTGTTTTGGATCAGTTGGCTTACAACGTACAATGCAGAGAAATCTAAACGCACAAGAAGGCAAATACGAAAGATGGGTACCGACAAGGGTTGTGCGAATAGTGAATTTCGGAACCGCATTCAATGCGAATTGAATAGTGATGAGGCCGAATCAAATATCTTGCGGTAATGCACTCGACTGCTGACCCGCAGGTTGCGGGATCGAATCCCGGCGGCGGCGGCTGCATTTTCGATGGAGGCGAAAATACTCAGATTTGGATGCACGTTAAAGAACCCCTGGTGGTCGAAATTTCCGGAGCCTTCCACTACGGCGTCTCTCATAATCATATGGTGGTTTAGGGACGTTAAACCCCACAAATCAATCAAGTAGACCATATTCAAAACAGTCCTGGAGCCTAACATTTTATTTGAAAAAAAATATTCACAAACTTACACTGAATAACATTACAGTTACTTTAATCGACTGAAACTCCCACAATTACGAAAACCAAAGTATGCTTATATACCCCAAGGACAAGACCTTTCGTAGGATTTTCTAACTGGTTCAAGTACAAAATGTACTAACGTAATCAATATGAGACTTTGCCACCTGATTTTAAGTAAAAATGGGACACAAAAACTAAAATTTAAAGCAGACTTATTTGCAGCTTAAGGCGCGAAAACGACACGGACGAAGAGAGACAGTACACACACACGGAGCGCCACTTCCAACAAAGATTTATTTCGAAAGAGCACAGAACATATATAGACACCGCGCGCGCCGTCACCGTGCCTTAATGCGCAGCCGCAGTTAAGTAGCGTAACTCCTTTGGCGATAAAGAAATGGAGGCTACGCTGACACACAGATCACCTAATTCGATTATTCTCTTGGCCTCAATGATTAGTCTTACTGATTTAACTGCGGCTGCGCATTAAGGCACGGTGACGGCGCGCGCGGTGTCTATATATGTTCTGTGCTCTTTCGAAATAAATCTTTGTTGGAAGTGGCGCTCCGTGTGTGTGTACTGTCTCTCTTCGTCCGTGTCGTTTTCGCGCCTTAAGCTGCAAATATGTTAAACCAACAAGCCCAGTCTGCTATTCTTACATCGTATATTTCTAGTACATCGGGCTCTCTTTTATGTGTTTCCAAGGCGCTCCGTGTGTGTGTACTGTCTCTCTTCGTCCGTGTCGTTTTCGCGCCTTAAGCTGCAAATATGTTAAACCAACAAGCCCAGTCTGCTATTCTTACATCGTATATTTCTAGTACATCGGGCTCTCTTTTATGTGTTTCCAATGGCGCTCCGTGTGTGTGTACTGTCTCTCTTCGTCCGTGTCGTTTTCGCGCCTTAAGCTGCAAATATGTTAAACCAACAAGCCCAGTCTGCTATTCTTAAAGCAGACATTGCGGATACAACTAAAGATGTAATGAAACACATCAACATGTAATCACAACAATGCCTACGCACCGAAAGCATGTAAATATTAGTGCGAAATCAACATCTTCAGAAACAGTTTACTCAAACGCAACACTTGTATGTGTTGTTAGTCTCCAAGCTGCGTGCAGTCGTAGTCCTCACCTTCATTTGTTACAAGGATGGACACTTTCAGCGTAGTTAAACGTAAGCAATTTAAGACGAGAGTTTTCGGAAAAAAAAAAGAACGTTCCGGCAATAACTATAGCGTAGTAGTCTCTCTGAAGCTTGGGCTGCGTGCAGCTCACTCTATACAAAATAAAAAAAAAATCTTCACTAGTTCTAAGGCTTTGTTTCTTTTGGTATTATCCCACCGGTGTTCTCCCATCGTTGCTGATTATTCGAAAACTATTAAGAAATATTCGGTAGTTCAAATACCTTCGAATAAGTACTATTTGATTCGAGTACCGAATCGAATACAGCGCTATTTCATTCGTTATTTGAAATTTCCGAATATTCGCACACCGACTCCTGAGTCATTGAAAAAAATTGTTTTCATGGTTCTGCGTGTCGTCAAGTTCGGGGAACACATTTGTCGTGGTCAGCATCACGTCAAGGTTGGTGTTACCAAAATAGGTACATCGACATGAAACGTTGCTCGTTTGTATAGGACGCTTCCCGTGCGTGCTTACACTACTAACTCTCGGTGTTCACGCCCTCTGTCTTGTTGTGGTGGTTCGCAGGAGACCGGCAGCATCCGGCCGGGCGTGATCGGCGGCAGCAAGCCCCGGGTGGCGACGCCCGAGGTGGAGAAGCGCATCGAGGAGTACAAGCGCGAGAACCCCGGCTACTTCTCGTGGGAGATCCGCGACCGACTCATCAAGGAAGGTGTGTGCGAGCGCGCCAGTGCCCCCTCGGTGTCGTCAATCAGCAGGCTGCTGCGGGGTCCCCGTGATGAGGACGATGACACTAAGGCCATGCTGCAGCACAAGCACTCCATCGACGGCATACTGGCCGCCAAAGATATGACAGCCGGTGGGTGGACGCCCTCGCTGCTCGACACTGAAGGCGCCGGTGCCACCCCTTGCGTGCGCCCGCTCTTAAAGGGACACTATACGGAGAAAGACACGTTTAACAATTAACTCTCAACCCAAAACTACCGCGCTTTCCACTGGAAGATTCTTCGTGAGCGAAAACGCACGTGAAAAGAAAAGGCGGGTGGCGAAGCAACCTTCAAATTGCGGCACCGGAAGTCATGACGTCATCAATTTTTATGGTATCTAATAGGCCCAGCGTATAGTTCTTAATCAGCACAAATGAAGTGCAATGTCTTCCGACGGGGCCTTACGCTTAACGTACAGATTTCCAGGATATTTCATTAGGCCAGTGCTGCCAAAAATACGACAAACACTCCTTAATACCCTTTACGTCACGCGCGCAAATTTTTACGCGAAATTTAAAAATGAAAATGTGACCATTTGCTCCTCGATCAACAAACCTATAACGGTGCAATTAACGGCATTTCAGTTCTCAGATTCACACTCAATCAATCTGAAACGATTCACTATATTACTTTGGTGTCCCTTTAAGACTTGGCGAATCTAAGTTTGAGGACCTGGGTTCGATTCGCGACTGTGGCGGCCGCATTTTGATGGCAACGACTAAACATAAATAAGTTGAGCCCTTCGTAGATCCGGGTGCATGGCAAGCAAAGTTATCTTCCACTTCGGGCACGCCATATAAACACATATCTTGCTCGAGAAACCCCATAATTCGATAAATGGCCCCTATATATCGAAAGCCGATCCGAGTACATTACTTTTCAGCTTCGACGCATACCACTTGTGGTGAACAAAAGACAATCCTCGCACAAACATTTAACAGATGGTGTACAAGAGCGCCACACTCAATTTCAGAGATCAAGTGCAATACTATGGAAGCCTTGGCAAGACGATGCAGCAGATGCATTCACACCAAGAAATATACTTCACGAACCGTAACGTGATTGGCTTTTATTTATTTTTGTTTTAGGCTCAGAAATAAATGAATACACTCCGTGGCCTATAGAAACGAACAAATCTATAGCTGCTGTTGTCGGTATGTTGCTATGGTTCGATTTGCGTCTCGTTGCTTTCATTTTTTTCTTGTTTGATATGCAGCCCGTCGCGACGCCTCAAGCGTACGTTATTGCTCGGTTTCGCGAAACGAGCGTTTACAGTGACGACAGCCAAACGTGAGACGCTCACATACGCGCATCTTGCTGACCGAACTTCGTGCATGATTTTCACGACGTTGCATCTGATGTATACGAGAACGAACTCTCCGATATAGATGCCTCTCGTACGTCAGCTGTTGTCGACACGTGGTGGATGCACGTTTCCGATCATTTTCCGCAGCATACGAGGCGGGATCAACATGTGGCCTTGGGGGCGTTTGTAAGTTGTAAACCAGTTACTGTCGTTTTACTGAAACGTGAACGAAAGAAGGGCGGTGGACTAAAGGAACAGCTTTTTGCCAAGGAAAGCGTATAAGGGACTTTATTTTGCAGTCTTTGATAGATGCGCAGTAATTACGGTGTAAAAGGAGGGGGTCAGTTTGTTAAGATTACGTGCTGCGTGGTGCCATCTAGCAAAAGAAAGTGTTCCACATTCGCCTCTATGCCTACGAGTGGTGCTGGCTAACACTCCCAAGCGCGCACTTACAGCAGCAAGTGGATGGGAAACGACCCCAACAGTAGCTCACTTGGTATGACGATAGTTATAGCGCGAGAACAGAACGACGACGCAGAGACAAGAAGGACACGAAGGACTTGTATCTACGTCGTCGTTCTGTTCTCGCGCTATAACTATCGTCATACCAACTAGCCCAAACTGCCTCACTTGGTAGAGCCTCGGTCGCGTACTGCTCAGGTTGTGGGTTCAGTCTCGGGCGGCGGCCAGTTGTTTTTTGTCCACACCCACGTCATTTTATTTCACGATTACCACGCTTCAATTAAATACAAGTAACGTAGCCTATGCTCTCAGTTACTTGAATTGGTTACACCTACATGACGTGGTCGCATTCATGCATATACTACCGAAACCTTGCTCGAGCTGAACATCGAAGTACACGTCTTTTTTCTGTCTTGGCGTCGTTTTGTCTTCATCGGATTGTGGCCGCCGTGACTGGGAATCGAACCCGCGTCCTCGAGCTTTGCAGCGGCACTGAGCTACCGCGGCGCATTTCTCTCAGCGGTGTTAACATGCATGTGTACGGTGAAATGTACCTAATGTATAATGGCATGTGAATTCGCCGCATGTAGGGTTGCATTTGTTTGCCGTTACATTGAAAACTCATTTGCACACTTATTATTTTCTCTCTCTCTTTTCTTTCTGTCTCATGCCTTGCAACGCGTCATGTTACGCTGGGCTGAGAGCACTTCGAGCATGCTTAGGGGTGCCTTTGCGCTGACTTCCTCCTGTTCTGAAAGCCCTTGCAGTGGAAAGAAAGAATGAAGAGGGGGAAGCACTAGCTTTCGAAGCGTGGTTGCTGCATAATTGATAACAAGTTGTACACATCAGAAACAGAAATGATAAAAACACGAGTGATGGCGGAGGCCTCTACGACAGAATGTAACGAGTGCACGCACTCAATTACTTCAAACTAGTACGTCGCGCATTGCGGTCTTATCGTGACGTCACACTCCCATGACACGTCACGAAAAAGCCGTTCTCTCGATATGTAAACCGAAAGTGTTTTTTTCTTTCAAGGTAGCGGTATAAACAAATATATGCGATGCATTCCCAGGCACCACAGTATTATATTTAGGGTCCTTGAAATCTGTGTTCGTATTTGGAGCAACAATCCCAAAATATCTTATATTCGTTTCAGTGCTCCTTTAAATTTATGTGAATCGCATTCGCTGAATCGCCAAATTCTACACCTCCTCAGATTCCCTTCACCAAGGCCTGAGATGTGTAATCAATCGCAAAAATTGAGCGTATGCAACACGAGCGACGCAAAAAATAATCCCATGATGACATCACTGCATGACGTCGTCACGACGTCTCAGATCGCAAAATTATGTGACGTCATTGTGGCTTAACATAACATGAGGTCACATTCACATGGTGGCGTAACTACGTGGCATCATCGCTTGATTAAGGATGGGCCGATCACGAAGGCATTGCAAAATCAGGTCTGCTGCAGCGATGGCTCCAATTCCGGAGGCAATCCATAAACCACGTTGGATGCGGAGAGCCTTCGACTGGGAGCTGGGGGGTATCAATACATCGATGAGAAGAAAAAGAAGACTGCTTCCGCCTTCGAGTCGTCGTACGCGAGCGAATAAAAGGAACCGTGCGGGTTTTGCGGAATGTTTCAATTTTCGTGTCTTCTGACGTGCTCTCTGTCTGGCCCATGGATGTTCCAGAATGGGGCAGACATCAACTCGTTCATCCTCGGCGTCCGCGAAAGAAGCCGCCTTCAGCGTCCACAGGGAAGCGGCGCGACGGAAACGCGCGCGGAGAAGGGTGTATCCCCGCGCTTGTATCACGCACTAGGCGACGTCTACGCGCAGTTGTGGGGTATGGCAAGAAAGAGGGGGCTGAGCCACAAGGGCCGCCGGCGGGGTCAACTCGTGACGCCCCCACCGCGGGGCCGCCATTAATCGCGACGCGCGCGCTCGGGGCGGCGGCTGCAGCAGCTTCAGGAAGGACACTCGACCGCCGCCACCAACTTTCTTTTTTTTTTTTCTTGCCTCCTTCCTCTTCCCGCCGCGTGCGCGTAATTAAATGACCGCCGTAGTAAAAAAAAGTTCACCCGCCAGAACAGCTGGATCCCTGAATCGCACTCCCCAGTGTTGTTCTCGGTGCAAAAGGCGCCTGCTCTATCGGGATGTGCTCATGACAGCCTCTCCACATCCGTGTCGTCCCTGCTACGATGGCTGAATAACTCAAGTTGATAGCGACCAGGCCTCATCCCATTCGGGGTCACACACGTGTCGCCAATATAATGCAGAAGTTGTACAGGTTTCTAATCCAAATGCCTCCCATTGAGTTAGTACTTTAGTCACAAAATAGTTAGTGTCATTCAAGTTCTAAATGGGAACTCGTACCTATTCACGAGCACAAGGATGCGCCTAAGGAGATGATGGCCGGCGCCGGAACTCGCAATACCCGCGCAGTATTTGCTGCCATGTAAAGAGTGAGATAATTACATGGCAGAGCTCTATGGCAGGCTCGCATCCGTGTGCAGACTCCGTGCGTAGACAGCAGAGGAAGACACAGCGCTTCTAGAGGAGCGTCCTCATCTGCCGCGCTTGCCTCGGCGATGTGCGCTGGCGCTTGTGTATATAGTGGTTCGCCGTTTTGCAGTTTTTGGGCTTCCGCAGGTCGCGGGATCGAATTCCGGCTGCGGCGGCTGCATTTACGATGGCGGCGGAAATGTTGTAGGCCCGTGTGCTCAGATTTGGGTGTATGTTAAAGAACCCCAGGTGGTCGAAATTTCCGGAGCCCTCCACTATGGCGTCTCTCATAATCATACGGTGGTTTTGGGACGTTAAACCCCACGTATCAATCAATCAATCAATCAATCAGTTATTGGGCTTCAAACTAAACATTAACGAGCCGCTTTCCGAAGGCGAAGCATTGAAGCACCGAGTCTCAGAAAAGTACGGTATCTCGGATCCGTGCGTTAATACCGCCCCAGATCTATTTGCCCAACAAGAGGAGAATGTTCGACAGGCGTTGCTGAAAGCTGCTAATGTGCTGCAACGGCGGTGTTTACGATGGTGTAACTTTCCAGTGGTGCGTGATTTTCGTAAGGCAGTTCATGTGCCAGTAGCGCTGTATGTGCCAACGCCGTAGTCTGCATGTCCACGGGGATCCAGTGGCCGGAACGTGGTCAGCGTTAGGTTGGGCGAACGGCACTTGCGTGTCACGGGCGTGCGGCAGCAGAGGCTGTGCAGAGTGGCTTCTTATGGTGTATAGCTGAAGCACACGAGGCAAGGAGCAAGACAGCTGAGGTGGTTGTCTTCGTCTCACAAATAAGCGGTGGGGCTGGCGCATTTTTCATTACACTAGTTGTACGAACACAGCAGGCGTTAACCTGTGCAGAAAGTTATCCCTCTTTACCAACCCCGTCCAGCAGGACTGCGGGAGGAAATGGCCAACAGTGGTGCGAACCAGGGTGTATAAAGCGGATGCATCGATGTGGAGGGCCGTTACGCAGGTAAGCCTGGCCCTACGCAGACCACAAGACGAGCATCTCGGCAGAGCGGCTGTATGATCACAGTTCCGGCAGCGCACTCCTGTTTGAGGCCCGTGCAGAAGCGCTGCGCTCTGACGTGTACCGACGGCACTCTGACACGTCGTCGGATGACAGTATACCTTGCAGTGCAGGTCATGCGTGGAGGGCGCGGAGAACATTGGGGACAGTGTGCTATGGTGCGAGCAGTAGTGCCACCGCCATCCAGATGACGCCGCACTTCCCGAGGTACTCGTCCTTGTGGACACGTGCGCCACGCTCTGTATACACGCAACGACCAATATGAGCACCCTGTGAGTGACTTCGATCACTGTTATTTGTATTGTTCCATCAGGGTATTGTGCGGTGCCCAACCGATACCAAGGGGAAGAGCACAGCAAGGAACGGGAAAGGAATGTGTTCATAGATCAGGAGGCTGAGTAAGAAAGTAACCATCCGCAATCGCTGAAGTGCGCTGTCAGGGGTTGACTGAAAAAACGTCAGGACAACTTAGCTGGTAATTCATCTACGTATATAAATGTCGCAACCACATGACAGTTTTTTTTTTGTTTTTAATGCGTGAGCATTCCATGGCAACTTCCCCCGGAAGATGGTGCATGCTATGCGTAACGTCCTCCTTCGTCCATGCTCTTGAAAGGAATGGCGGCGTCTTCAAGGAGTGTCTGGAGTGGCTTAGCGGAGTAGCGACTAAGCAAACAAATGGTTGTTGTCATTTCTGAACTTGGGGCCACCACTACAGAAATCAGTGCATAGACCGTGCCCAATCAAGGGGAACAGCTCATAAAGGAACACATAAAAACATGTTGGTTCAGAACCCTGACGTGTTTTCCGCATCTCTAATGGTTTCCTAAAAAATTCTGCGTCGGCAAGCCAGTGCTTCAAGACGGTTGCCATATGTGTATATCATATTTAGACCTCGCACACAAAAAAGAAAGCGTGTCGAATGGCAAAAATCAATGCATTTTATTATAATCGTTTGTCCTGTAACCATCAGAGCAGTACATAGATAATTCTATGCTAGTCCTGCAACCCAGATTATTTAATTCCCTTGACTGCGATGGATTCGGCCACAATGCTTGCGCCCTATCCGAGAATTCAGAGTTCTCTAAAATTTCCATTTCCTTTAATACCTAAACTATAGCAACTATGGGCTACACACCTTTTCGACTCGGAGAGAGGTTACCTTCTTTCTGGTCTGTTGCACGGAGTGCAAAAGCTGACGTGGCAGCCTCGGCAGTGCATTTATTTAGGGTCACGTATGTGAGCAGCCGAGAGAGGATAATGGCAGTGCCTTCGTTGGCGAGATGCATAGTCAATTTTCTCGTCTGTCCTGTATTGCACAACCACGCGTCGCCGATGCCACACGAAACAATGATGGCAGCCGATTGCCACCTGGACGCAGGCTCCCGGCTGTCCGGCGGTGAGTGCAGCCTGGACTCGTACTCGGACGGCGAATGCGGAGGCGACCCGACCGCCGAGCCGGGGCTGACGCTGAAGCGCAAGCAGCGCCGGTCGCGCACCACTTTCTCGGCCACGCAGCTGGACGAACTGGAGAAGGCGTTCGAGCGAACCCAGTATCCGGACATCTACACGCGCGAGGAGCTCGCCCAGAGGACGCACCTCACCGAGGCAAGGGTCCAGGTACACCCACACGCTGCATGCGCACACAGGCCTATACAGACGCTCGCTATCGGCTCTTTCAACTTCACGAACAGCCGATGTGTCCAAAATGTCATTTCTAATCTAGTGGCAGTGGTTTATGGTTGGATGAGGATAGGAGCATATGCAGACGCCTGTCTCTAGTGCCGTTTTTCGTGCTAGTTCCGTAATTTGCGATCAGTGTCGTTTACCCGGCTAGTTGGTTGGAATCCACGGCAAGTAACAGCGCTATAAATAAAACGAGGTACACAGAAACGATAGATGAGAATAAGCGCTGTTCGCGCTTGTTCTTATTTCGTGTTTGGCGCTGTTATGTGCCATGTTTCTTGTGCATATAACCATGCTTATTGTGCATTAATTGATAATAATTGTTGGGATTTAACGTCCCAAAGCCACCATATGACTATGAGAGACGCCATAGTGGAAGGCTCCGGAAATTTCGACCACCTTTGTCTGTTTAATGTGCGCCCAAATCTAAGCACACGTGCCTCAAAACATTTTCGCTTCCATCAGAAATCCCACGACCTGCGGGTCAGTAGCCGAGTGCCCTAGGTAAACCACGTGGCGGGTCTAGTGAATTAATTACCTGCAAAGTCACACAGCAGCGAACGCTCTGCAGTCGGCCGAATGGTATGCAAGTGGTGTAATTATTGATTTTATACGCTGCTGTGAAATAGCGCCTTAGGAACAACTCAGGCACTTTGTTTAAGACGCGGATGGGATGGAGAGTGAAGTTGGACTGCTAGGCAAGCATGAGAATGACATACCTAAAATAAATCCGGTATTGCCCTGATAAATTCGTGTTTTGCTCACTGATTGTTTAGAGTGAAATGAAATCGCTAATGCTGAAGGATTGACCACAGCAAGAACAATGTTAATATTGAACGCGCAAGCATGCGGGATTTATATCACTACCTTATACAAGATTATGGCAGCTCAAAATGGGATTCGGTGATTGCAGTTATTCCATGCAACCTACATGTATAGCAAGCGCACCACACCTGAAAATCCCCGGCCTTCGCTCCTTCAAATACCGGCGGTGCCATGGCCAGCAGCGAGGGAGGCGATCTCTCGGAACTGTAGTGCACGCAACTATTGGCGGCGATCTGGTCGCCTTATATAAACCGCCTGCAGCATGCTGGTCGGCAAGAGATGACCCTCGATTCACAGTGCAGTGCTTGTTTGCATGCAGGTCTGGTTTAGCAATCGGCGCGCGCGCTGGCGCAAGCAGATGGGCAGCCAGCCCATGAACGGCTTCCCGTCTCTCGGCATGCCCGTGTACCCGGCCGCCGCCGCTGCAGCAGCCGCTGCCAATCAGTATCTCCTGCAGCAGCCCACCGAGCCGCAGTCCTACGCGCCGCCGCACCATGCGACCCAGGCGCCGCAAGGTCAGTGGACTTTCCCCGCTGATTCTTCGTACTCGGAACGAGTTAAAATCGGTGCGTACTCGACTGTGCGCTTATCATGCGTCATTAATTGTCATGCACTTGTGCACGTTACAGAAAAAAAAAAGTACGCAGTCGAGGTTACAACTATACTTTATTCAGAAGTGGGATGCACTTACTGCCAAAAGAAAACTAGTGAGCGACGTGCTGCAATGTAATAGAATTACGCTACTCTTTCTCAAAGTGTTATATATATTTATGCAAATACAATACTAAGCAGAACGAGCTTGACTCCATGCGCCCGCTGTAGCGAAAAGCAGCAGGCTGCAGCGTTTTACATTTCGACTTCCCTAGGAGTTTCATTTTAGAATTTTAATCGGCCATTCTCCATCGTTTCTTTTTTTTTTTTTTCATATCACTAGCAGCGTATTTACTGTTCGCGCAGGCAAAAAAATGTCCGGGAATCGAAAACCGAGGTACAACAAACACTCACGCCGAGCTGTACTTTAAATAAAATAAAAAAATAATTTTGCATAAGCTTTTCGTTTGCTGAACGTCGCTTCAGTATAAGACGAGCGTAAATACACGCAAAGATATTGCTCGTATCGAACACCACACCGGAAACTCGCTAGATGTGCGAACATTTTTCGCACAAAATCATAGTTTCGTTGCCACGATGCTTGCCCATTCTACCTATTGTGCATACGAATTGCAACGCCATACTCTTGAATTCACCCAGAACTTCGTCGGTGAATAACGAGGGACGCTGCCGTGGAAGGCTCCGGAAATTTCAACAACCTGGTGTTGCTAAGACACGTTGCCGGTCTACTTGGTTGGGGTTCATCATTTATAAGGGTATATAGCGCACCACGGCAAGGACACAACAAGAGAGACGCAAAAGAGAGCAAGTAGCACTATGTGTGTGTGCGTCTCTGTTTGTGTCCCTGTCGTGGTGCGCTATATACCCTTATAAATGATTAACCTGGTGTTCTTGAACCTACCTAAATATACGCGGGCCTAGCATTTCGCCTCCATCAAAATGCATCCTCCGCGGCCGCGATCGAACCCGCGACCTTCGAGTGAGCAGTCGAGTGCCGTAACACCTGGACCTCCGCTGCGGGTGTGAAAAGGTATCTTGCGTCGAGACACAACTGATAAAACTGAAAATAGCCCAAGAACAAGAGCACGTTTCTACGCCATGCCATGACGACGAAGGTTTCACGCTTATATACTTCGCAATTTATGCAGGGGGATTTCATTAGAAGATCTGGCCTGCATACCGAGCCCTCGCTCCACATCAATTATACGCAACACTCTCATCCCTTCCTCCAGACGAGAAAAAAAATCTGTATTTGCTCTTCTTTAATATGAATAAACGATTTCGGAGAACCTGTGAAACGTGACAAAATGGAACACTACTTGACCAGGCAGCGATACATCGGCTGCGGCACTGGTACTATTGTTCTACATACCAAGGTTGATCCTGGTATTGCCGTCGACTGAACTTGCACTGTGTGGACTAGAGACCTCCACACATAGTCACTCTTGGACTTAATGGATAAGGTCGCCACTGTAGCAGCGCTCCGGAGAGAGAATGAGAGAGAGAGAAAGAAAATAAGACGGCGAGTATAACTAGAGGAGATCACGAATGGACGTCAACTGCCACAACGTATTGTTCAGTCCTGTTTCTCTCGAAAACCAGAGCAACGCTCTTTATATCACTGCTCCCTTTGACGCATGGGCATGGCCGGTCTAGAACCGTGCAAAGGTGCAGTACAGTCCGGCCGTGCTGAGTCAGTGCCCAAAAATCGTGCTTTGAGAGGGCGCTCCAGAAGCTACAAAGGTAGGGAGCTATACATGGGCATGTTGGCTCAAAGGGGCTCACCCACACAAAATGGCTGATATAGTTGCGAAGGGAGGAGAAAAAGCTGTAGGGAGCATCACGTGAAAATTTTGAAGCCCAATCATCATAGATGAAACAAGAGCATGCTGGGCATTGAGCCCAGGGTATGGAGAACGAGGGGAGGAGTGGCGTCTGAGGACATTGGCTTGTGTACGCTAGGCGCGCGCTCTCGTCAATTTTCCGTTTTTGTTCACGAGCCAATCAATAAAGAAAATGAAACAGAAGCATCATGGGAAATGAGCTCGAACGCGAGTAGCAAGTGGCTTCAGATGTGGTTGGCTTTTGGGCGGTAGACGTGATCCCTCATATCATTTTTTTTCCCTTTTCTCTCTGGTTGCGGAGCAGTCATGTGTGTCATCTGACAAACAACTTTATAATGTGCATGAACAGTATAACTACAACGGCGTTTCCTTAGAGCGGATCACAAGAGCGCAGCACGTGGTTACATTATTCATTAGCACGTAACGATGTACAGCTGACAATTGAGATGTGAGCGCATGGCTTATCTCCCGCAGAGGCTGTTCCGTCGTCCGTGGTTTCGACCATGAGTCATGCAGCATCTGACCCTCGCACGAGCGCATACTGCGCTGACCAGCACTATGGCATGCCCCAGCAGCCGATCAAGCCGCAGGTACGTGTCAAAGCAGACGCTTCATTTTCCACACTTCGCATGACACCTGGATTGCCTGAGCCACTGGACACTTCTCTTTGACGGCTATTTGTTAAGTTACTCATTTCTAAATAGAATCAATGAGTTGGTTTCAATTGATAGACTGGCCTCTGCGATGCCATAAGTTTCACTGTCATAAGTTCATAACTGGCGGAGAAAATCAGTGTTCAAGTTTCATTTTTAAATTTCGCGCCTAAATCTCTGAGTGACGTAAGAAATCTCACAATGTGTTTTTCGCATTTTCGCGACATTGGGTCGATCAAACTTTCTGAGACTTCGTATGCTAAGTCCATGGTACCCACAGATTACAACAACGTAGTTCAGTTTTATCGATTAGAAGCTATACACAGGACCCAGTAGACGCCTTCAAATTTTTATGACCTCACAGTGTTTGGTACGGGAATCTCAAGGTGGTGTCTCCACCCGCAGTTACTTTCGCGCGTTTTCTCCCATACCAAGTGTCGTGTCGCGTTAGGATCAGTGTTTTCGGGATTGCGAAATCGTACTTTCCTCGTAAGAGAAAAAAAAACATTTAGTTCTTTCGTGTCCCTTTAAAGGCCAACTCCAGTGACTTTTCGAGGTCAGTGAATTTCAATGAATTCAGGTGTCTGCGTTCCTCAGCACATTTTCGTCATTTATGCTTAAAATACAGCCTTGAGAGATGGGCAAATGAATTTTAAAGTAGTAAACAACTTTATTATTTTAGTAAACAACTTTATTATGAATTTTAAAGATTGCCTCGAAACGCTCATCTGGCTTGCCAGAATTACTGGCAACACTGTCTAGGTGACGTCGTGTTTGGCAAGTCAACGGGAGCGACGCAACCGATGGCATCGCTAACCTTGGCAGCTGTAGCGTTTACTGTGCTGGCCACAATGTGACAGTGGTACTGTTATGCACAGAAAAGCTTCCTTCCTTTCTTTGTGGTGCTTGGCAGGCGCTTCGCTAGTTTGGCGCGCGATTTTCTGTTCCCTGTGAATGGGTGTGCGATGGGTGGTAATTGCTCTTGCGTTGTAGGCTGTAGAAACCACTCATACAAGGCCCAGAGAAGTTTGCTATCCGGGCTTTCCAAGTGAAAGTGCTCTACGTGAGAAGTGGATCAGTGCGATCAGACAGGACATCTGGTGACCAAGCAAAACGGCACGCATATGTTCCTATTATTTCTTGCCGGAGTCATGTACGCCAAAGTCACTGCTGTCCGATAGCCAGCTCTGAGACACTGACAGTCTCATGGTACCTTGCACTGTCGAGTGCTCCGGAGGCTGTGTACGTAAAATAGCAACTACTGCTGCCGAATTCCTGAATGCGTTCCTGCTGATTTCTTTTTTCAAAATAAATTTTCACGTTTTCATGTAAAAAGTTCGCGCTTCAATAATACTGTTACTCCTTTTTAATTTTTTTTCGAATACTCTTTTTAAGTAACCGCGATAGTTTGTTTTCTGAATACTTAGAGGCACTCCTGTGATTGGTTGGTTGTACTGCGCGGTGAAATGCGCGCGATTATTTAGGGCTATAATTAGATGTGAAGCATTTTTACACAGGTTGCATAACTCCAATTTAACACTTACCTTTCGTCTCGGGATTAGATTGTTTAGCTATTACTGCTGATTTGCGACACAAAAAATGAAGCAACACCTCCGTATCGGTTGAGAAGTGCGCTCGCGTCAACTTTACCGCACGGAAACGGATACCTGTTCTATCTGAACATGGTAAGCTGTGTGGGTGAATGTCGGAATATACGAACGAAAGCGGTTAATGAACAATTGTTTTCTTCAAAGTAACTAACTCCTCCCCGCCTCGACACCTGCACTGGCGTCTCTCTGCCATCCAATAGGCGCACAGCGCCGTGTGGTCTCAGCTAAGTAAGCACATATTATCTGGCACGTTGAAATTCTAGGTTGGCGGTTTGATTGCGTGGCCTCTCTGCGAGTGCAAACTCCATGTTTATCACCAAAGATCGGCAACACTATGCAGAGTGCAAATTTTCAAGCTTCTGAAGGAAATGGCGCCCAATACGAAGAGTAAATCAGTATACCTGTTAATCAATGCTTCACTTTTGTTCAAATAATTATTAAACAAACAAAGCAAATAATTCTGTTGTGATTCGCAAATAATGCTAAGCACGTGTTTCTCTGTACAAATAATGCTTAAAGAACAAGCGTCGGTTACACAAGGATTCATGAATAATTTTAGTAATTTTGTTTAAGCAAGAAAATTTTGTATTCACAGCTTGGTAGCCCTGTCATGTATATAGTGAACTCATTCGATAATTACTTAGAAATATGTTTGCTTTTGAATGACATTCACGTTATCGTGTTTCTTATTTTATTTCTTTTACCCAGTCTAAGAATTTTTACTTTACCTTTATGCTTATAAGTGAGAATTCCAATTCCAGTGTCTAAGCCCTGTGGTAGCATACTGCCTGTGAAGTGTCATGTGTTTCCCGTGGTGCTGTTGCCACTCCGACTACTCCTTTTCTCTTTTGCGCTTTTTTTTCTGGGCTGTGAACTAGTCGAGCAGTTTTATACGCAACATTTCTTTTGCCTCGCAGTTGTTTATATCTGCAAAAACGAACGGAAATAAACACAACTTAACACATACAAACGTGCCGGAGTTCCCCACTTTATATATATATATATATATATATATATATATATATATATATATATATATATATATATATATATATATATATATATATATATATATATATATTGTTCCCCTATAATACTTCCCTCTTACATTCCTTGGCATTATTGTCTGTTAGATCTCATTAATATTGTGTAAACACGACAAAACGAGCCCTTAAGTATACACTTGTTTTCCTACATATATATATATATATATATATATATATATATATATATATATATATATATATATATATATATATATATATATATATATATATATATATATATATATATATATATATATATATATATATATATATATATATATATATACAGTATAAAAAGAGGTCGACAAACGTGCGAAAAAACACTAGTTTTACTAACGTTTCGGCAGGTGGGCCTGCCTTCGTCGGAGTGAATGGTTACACATGGCACACAGGGCACATATATAAGCCGCTTCTTTGCGTATCACACGGCTAAGTCATTATCAGTAGTATAGGAAACAAGATTATATATCACCAAAGGTACGTGGCTCTAGTGTATATACAGCTGAAAACGCGTATCATTATACAATAGTGAATTGGCACGTATTAGATACCCTACAACTAGTGTGGAATGAAACAGGTCAGCAAAATAATGTAGGTGGCCTTTGTCACTTCATCATTTACTCGCATTCATTTTGCTCTGCCTGCTTTGTGATTTTGTTTATCTCTCTAAACTTCTTTTTCTTTTTTAAAGGCTTACTGAATGTTTTTAGGCTGTGTTTATCCCGCAGAACGTATGACCAAGTGAGCCACTGCGTGCGCAGTTTGTTATTTTGCTGACCTGTTTCATTCCACACTAGTTGTAGGGTATCTAATACGTGCCAATTCACTATTGTATAATGATACGCGTTTTCAGCTGTATATACACTAGAGCCACGTACCTTTGGTGATATATAATCTTGTTTCCTATACTACTGATAATGACTTAGCCGTGTGATACGCAAAGAAGCGGCTTATATATGTGCCCTGTGTGCCATGTGTAACCATTCACTCCGACGAAGGCAGGCCCACCTGCCGAAACGTTAGTAAAACTAGTGTTTTTTTCGTACGTTTGTCGACCTCTTTTTATACTGCATTTTCCACCGGATCCATTGAATATCACCCCACCATATATATATATATATATATATATATATATATATATATATATATATATATATATATATATATATATATATATATATATATATATATATATATATATATATATATATATATATATATATATATATATATATATATATATATATATATATATATGTGTGTGTGTGTGTGTGTGGTGTGTGTGTGTCGCGCCTGCATTAAGAAGCGTGCGATCTCGCACATTCTCGTTGTACGGGGGATCTGGTTATACGAATGGTAGACATGCTATATGCAGATGCTGAACATGCTGCCGAGCCCCGCGGAATACGGGGCCCTCCAGCAGCCGGACGAATGGCGCTCGCAGGCGCCCAGCTGTTGGCCCTTGTCCATGGCACCGACGGCTACGAGCACCGCTACGGCCGCCGAACCGTTCGCTTCGGACGCTTTCGTATCGCCGCCTTACAGTGGCGCCGGGATGGACATCAAGGCGGCGACCATGTACTACCAGGGTATCAAGGGACTGCCACTCTGACCCCGCTGCCGGACTTTCTGTACATAGCGCACGGCAGGCAAAGTGCAACCTCTTGTCATCCACTCGTGTTGTCAGAGCTCGCCTGCTTATCGGACGGACCTCCCAGAAGCCCCCGGGTGTCGTTCGTGCAAACAGTGGTGCGCGCGACAATTTGGTCTACGCTTCCGCCCAATAACGAGTGAGGTACATACGTGAACCTCCAAGTGACCGCTCGCTCGTCTAAAGCTTCCCCGGGTTGACATGATAGAACACGGCCGTATAGCGAGGGACGCAAATCTGTACCCAATGTATAGAAGCCAAGAAGGAATGCTGCGATGAGGATTGAAAAAAATTTTTCCAGATCGAGCAGGAACACCACCGTTTAGCTTAGTACGTCTCGCCGGCAATCCGTGCAGTGGAGCTGAGCACTCTAACGATCCATCTCCGGTGGTATAGACGATGCATATCTAAACTGCTCCAATAACTGTTGCCCAATTAAACTGGTAAAGTGGTGCGCAAAAAAAAAAAAGACGGGCACAGAAATTCCTGACTGCATTAGTGTACCACTGTGATTGTACAAGAGTCCATAGCTACAGCGGCATCCCTCTATCGAATCTCGTGGGGTGTGTGAACACTTAATTTCAAGTGAACATGGATCGAGGACGTGGGTTCGATTGCCAGGCACTGTGGCCGCATCGGGTTTGATTACCGGCAACTGTGGCTCCATTACGGTTAAAAAGTTAATTGAGAAAAGCTTCGAAACACGCTGTCACAGTGCGGTCATTCGAGTCACGAAAATTTTGCTATTTTAGGTCACGAGGAGTCGTTAGACCCTGCAGCCATGGCCAAATGCTTTGAAATGACTAACGTATAGGCCTGCTTGCACATCCATCAACTACTGGGGGTGAGATGGCCAGACTGAAAACGTCACATGCGGCGTCATACCACCGCCGTACAGTTTGAAAGGCGAGGTTCCAACCTTGCGTTGCATAAGTATTTCCGCACTCGAAGAAAAAAAAAAAAGTATGCCTTGCCCTTTCCGGCTAGTACTTACTTGCCACGAGTGTGACTCTCATTAAGGAGGCATGTTAACTTTCGTTTTTGTCACACGACTCTTCCAAATGACTATTACGATTTCCAAAGAGTGTTTCCATGCCTCTTAAAAGTGAGTCATTCACTCATTAGCATGGCTAAAAAACACTACATGACTTTTTTTTTTGTAGTGTATTTTTTCATTGTCGTGCTGACCCGTGTAACTGAGGGGCCAGTTTTCGATACTTTACCGCCACCACTAGAGCCAGAGTGACAGCCAACGCAAACGTACCGCTGTACACTGACGTCACGTGTGACGTTTCTGCTTAGGTCACGTGATCTCGAGCAACTGACTTGCAGAAAATCTTTGGCATTTTCACCCCCAATCATAGCGAAGATTTGGATATCAGTGGAGTGTCGGTGTAGTGCTCATATTTTCTCCATAGGAAAGCCTCCGCGACGGTATACGGTCAGATAAATATTTTGTGCACAGAACTTTGCTACATCTCCTTCTAAACAACTCTTCCGTTGCGGTCGCTTTTCGGTGGAAGCGAAGTGGCAGAGCCCGTGCACTGTGCGATATACACCAGATGGTCTAAATTGCCGGAGCACTCCACTATCGCGTCTCTCATAATCATATCGTGGTTTTGGGAAGTTAAAACCCACGCATAATTATCTAACTCGTCAATGGTTTCAACTTCGGTGCACGGGGTGTCAAAGACAAAAGTTGTAGGAGTCGACTTTGCGCACGGCCGGATCGAGGTTGCAGTTAAGTCACGACGCGCTGTTGTAGCGTCACTGTATGGCCACTACAGTGCTCGCATCGTGGTGGTGATGGTTCCTGACCCACACAACGCAAGGCTAGCGCAATTTCACTCATAACGTCAAACGGGAAGGCATCTGATTTAAAAAAAAAGGAAGAAAAAAGATTTATTTGAAAGCGATCGGCTTTCCTACATATATTACAGTAATAAAAGATAGAAGGAGAGAGAAACAGCTCTAGGATGGGGAACAAAAAAATGACAGTAGAGCAGTGCGTTCGCGTCAGAGGCGTTCACACACTCCATTGGTTCACAATAGTTGCAGCTGCATTCTAATGCGATGGCAAACAGTGCACGTCGACTATGTAAATAAGGCTTTATGGGAGGCGACAGAGACATGAGTGTGAGAGTTACCATGCCGCAAACCAAAGAATCATTATGTAGCTGCGCCAATCCATTGCTCCGTTTGTTTGTTTTTTTCGCACCGCGATGAGTTTCACACACTGAACGATGGCAATGATATTTCAAAGCGACGATAATAGCAATGATAATAAAAACAAATTACACCATTGTGGATGGCCCTTGTCACTCTCTCTGGAAGATTCTTTTCAGATTGGTGTTTCGGCAAAGTCTAACCCGGAAGGAACAGTGCCACTGCCAAAGCTGCGCGGGGTCATCACTCCAGTGATTCCAGCTCGAAAGGCTGGAGAATCAAATATGCTTCGAGTAGATGGAATTCCCTCTTCATTTGAGCATGGCAGAATTCAGGCCCCCACATTTTTTTTTTCAGTTGTCAGCGTCCAGAGTAGTTTACGTGGTTCATATCCTAGTAATATTACTACTTAAATTCGTAGCCTTACGCGAGTCTCACGGAATGGTCACCACTAATGTGGAGGCCTTTCCCTTTTACCGCAGTGACACTCGCGCTCACCAGTCGACGTCGAGCGCCAACCAGTGGAATGGCGGTTCGAAAGAAGCCACAAATAAATCCAGGTGTTTTCGGCATCCTCTCGATCCGCACTGCATCTCGACGTGGCGGAGGACGTGCGCTCAACGACGAGGTGGGTGAGCGCGGGATTTTCGAATATCGGCGGTCGGCCACCCACGGGGCCGTCACGGACCTGACAGGCGGCGCCTCAAAGGCTGCCAACGGGGCCCGCAATTATCACACGCCGGACGACGGCGCCCCGCCCCGCGGGCGGCCGCTTCAAAGCAGCCGCCGCAGACGGCGCGTGCGGCCCCTGTCAGGCGCGGGGAGATTTGCACCCAGGCCGCCGATGCAAGCAGCGGCAGAGCTCACTTTCTTCAGCCATCCGTGGACCAAAAGGCAGCGACGATGCGCCGCATCCGCGTGTCGCTAGAGTGACCCTTGCATGCAGGGACCGCGGAACACGCGCCCTATCCAGCTCTTTCGGTTGTCGGGGCGTTGTTTTTGGCCCTTGGGTGCGGGCAGGCTATGCGGGGGCCATCTTCCGCCCCTCACCGATCACGCGGAGTGCTACGCGTCATCGGCAGCGTGCAACGGGAGCGCCCGTGACGAGGAGGCCGGTCCGCGCCGTGACAGGCAAAGCAGCAGCAGCATCGATGCGGACGCGCAAAACAAGCCCGCGGCGGGACTGTCGTCGACGACGGCACGGGTCGACCTACCGCCGCCTCTAATGGCCACTTGCCAAAACACGAGAGGACCTCCGCGGGGCCCGGTCATTACCCGGCAGCCTCATTGGCACCTGTCTGCGCCACCACAATCGGCGCGCGCGACATGCGCGTCCCAAATAGCAGCCTGTCGCCGGCAGAGTGCGCTGGTAGTAGTGACCTCCCCCTCAAACACGGTTTCCACCGTGCGCTCGGAGAAACAGTTGGCGCGCGAGGTCCCCTTACACGGAACCGAACACAGTCAGCCGGGTGGCCTAGCATTAGATCAACCCCCTTGGTAACACCGTTCCTCTGCACGTCGGGGCCGAGTGGAACGCGAGGGAGTCCAGAAGTACGCGCTGTGAGAACTGTTCTTGAAGAGGAGAAGGTCGGGTCGAAAGAAACCAAGCAAAAATCTAATGTGCCCTTTTCATGGTTATTAGCTCTACGTCGCTCAACACGCGTTGCCGCGATTTTTTTTTTTTTTTACAGGTTGCTCGGCTACACAGCTCGACATTTAGTGCAGGCATTCGGCGCTCAATGCAGGAAACGTACCTCATGTCGAGCGCAAGCCCACGAGAGGCTCCCGGGAAGCGGAAACAAACCCACAATATCGATGAATGCTGGGAGGCTTTGCCTTAAAGCAGTATTGTTTTAAGTGTGGATATCATTCCAGTGGAAATATAGACAGGAAGTTTTTTTTTATATTACGCAATATTCAAATTACGGATGCATTTTTTCTTGCACCGTGTTCTCAGATACGCCTCCGATTGTGGGCATACATGCAGCCTTCTTCCGTTTACTGAACGCCAATAATGTCGCAAAAGAGTGCAATTGAGAAGAACAGGAAGGGGACTGAGCAGGCATTGCTACGAAAATTGACGTTATTATCTGCAGTCCACTACGGGGAAGCATGGCTGAGCGCCACACGTAGATGACGATAGTCATAGCGCGAGAACCGAACGACGACACAGAGACAAGGACACGAAGGAGTCGTCGTTCTGTTCTCGCGCTATAACTATCGTCATGTGATACCAACTAGCCCAAGCTTCGACACTTTTAAGCCACATGTAGGGAAGGGGATACGACAACGGAAGCACAGAAGCTAGAGAACACTGGACATATTTATGCAAGCGCAGCTGTGCCCTTTAACGCATGCGAAGTGGTTTCTTGAGCTCACAGTGGTACTGTTTGTGAGTGCGCTGGCTGTAGCTAGGCTTGCAGGAGAAAAGATGAACGGCCTCGTTCGTGCCAGGTCAGTGTGGCTTGCCTTTGGCCGCCTCCTGCCGCATATGTAGCCTGCCACTGCTTCGAGCTGTAATACATACCATTGAACCTGCTTTTCAATTGCGAAGCATTCCTTTGCGAACTTCGGCGACATTGAGCGTATCTATCTATATATCTAGCCGCTTACGTTTGGATGCTCTCGTAGTCACCCTCTTAACTTGGCGTGAACCAAAATTAGCACGGGAAGTTAAGATGGTTTGACGAATATGACGCGCTGGTCAAGACATGAATAATGCCCCAATCCCGTCGCGTGCGTCATCAAACACTTCCTGCCAGACAGTGCCACAGGTGATTGACACTTAGTATCTACTCGGGAACGACGAGAACACACATGGGCAATTTTAACGCACGCAATTTAACACACATGCGCAGTTTTAACTGAACTTTTCTATCCCCGGCTATGCTTGCTTCGTTCCGCAAGAATGCTTTGCTCTTACCAATTCTATGGCACCAAGGCCGTGATGTTATCTGCATTAGTTTCATACTCATGCTGTTTTACATATGAAGAGTTAAATCAGCTACATTTGGAAGCAGGTATACACGATGGTGCAAGAGCACTTTATCCTCGTCGACCACGGTCGCCTGCTTGGGGCGCTCGCCTCTGTCTCTTGAGGCGCCAGTTGCACATGTGCAAGCGAGCTGAAGCGTGACCAACCTAGCTAGAAAGAGCTCCCCCTCCCATCTTCTTTCAGCTTCACACAATGTGATGTAACGGCGTCTCCTCAATATTGCTTCGTCCATGTTGAATTCTCCCACTTGTGTGCAGCGCTGTGGTGTGACTTCACTAGTAAAGATGCGCGTCTTGGTGACGTTCAGACATACTTGCGATAGTTCCCGGCGTAAGCTACCTCCTACTCTTTTAGTGATTTTGTATTGCTTCCAATATGTGTGAGTAAGTTGGGTGCCACTGCCTTATTCTCTTAATTGGGCCCTGCAACAGTTTTGCGCCCTGCAACAGAGCCCTGCAATTGGGCCCTGCAACAGAGTGCCAGCCAGCGTCACTCGAAGGCATGACGGTGAATGTAAAGCACTCCTTTAGCCAAATTGCACCAGGCAGCACGTGACCT